TCGTTAAAGATTTATCGTTGGATTTGTCCACTTCTGATTGTAATTTCTCATATTTTCTATAAAAAACATAAGTGTAATATATTTATCAAAATTATTTTTAATAAGAAATTGAGCCTTGGTGAAATGAGTTAGTTTTTATTGTAAAGCTATGTTCAGATTCCCATCCAAGTCACTCAGATATCATTTTATCCTTGTTTAATATTTGATAAACAACAAGAATAAAATGATACCTAAAGTGAATGGCACTTGGAAGAGAATCTAAATCTAATATCCTAATGTAACTTATAATAAATATAATATATATAATAAATGGTATACAAAAGATATCATAGCACAGTTTTACATTTTTACACCATAATTAAAAAAATTAGTCATTATCCAAATAGGACACTTTATTCTGGCGAACGTTCTTAAAACATAGGGATATTCTCTGAATGTTCTTTGGAACGTTTCTTGGAGATCTGTGCTATTAGAGTAATATTGAGCCTATTTATAACATCTTTTGTTCATTATATTATAAGCTATATTATATGTGAAAACTATAACTCACCAGGACTCAATTTAATCAATACAGGATCCTTTAATAGACCCAATACACTCACTTGTTCATCTCTTCAAATTGATCGTGAAGATTGGTCAGGACGTCATGTATCTCCTTAGAATTGTGCAAATCAGGAATATGCATTTTGTGATTGCCAATATTACCCTACGACATCAACATGTCATAATATGCTTTAAAATAAACTGCTAGAATGCGATTTACCTTTAATGATATCCTCGAAGTTCCTTGTTGAATTTTAGGATTCGTCGGAGTGTCGCTTTTGCTCACAGCGGAAGAAGATTGCTGTTTAATTTTATGATTGAAAGAATCAACTTTCTCTTTATAAAGCTGTTTAGAAATATTATTCTCCTTTTCAAAAATAATTTCTGCATTCGTGAACGTTTTTGGCATACGACCACTTTGCGTCTTTCCCACGTGTAAATTAAACATAGACAATCTTTTATCTCGACCGAGGTTCTCCTTGCTGTTAAATTTAAGCATTCCAGTCATTTGCAAGCTCTCGTTGGGGACGGATTCCTTATAGTCATCGTTCATCTGGCCCAGAAGAACCGACATCGGCCTCATGCCTTTGCTCACTTTGCGGATTAATAACGGGGTGACATCGCTCGTGATCGGCTGTCTCGTCTTCATTATGCTCAACACCTACGTTTCAGGAGAATGTTTTTTTTAGATAACTCGCTTGCTTTTCGCTGAATTTCGTCAGCTCACTTGTTGAATATTCAATCCGAGATTGTAACTCGGGGTCACCGAAGTTCCCACCACAAACGGAATATTTTGGAAATTAAACCCGCTGAAATACGATCTGTTCGAGCGTTTTAACTTCGACGCCAAAGTCGGCATCTCATAGTTGGGCGTGAACAATGGATCGTCGTATCTATTGAAAACTCGTTTGCATTGTTGCGTTTCATCCTGTATCGATGGATCAAGATTGTTGTGTGTGGAATGGATCGGCTTTTCTAATTTATCTTGTTCTTGTGTAATCTGGGGCTTCGCTCTATGAGAGAAAAAGATTCAAAATTTAATAAGTAATAATGATGGAATGATGGAACTTTGAGAGTAATAATAATAATAATAATGGTAATAGAGAGAAATGTAAATAATTATAATGTTGACCATCACTAATTACGATAACGTAACGATTACAGTAACTATAAGTACTATTATGCAATTACTTTGATAATGTATTGTTTTGATGATTTAACATCTGAAGACAATGATCCGGTTTATTTTTCTTATCATGGGATTCACATTTCTGATTAATATTTTCAGAACGTCTATCTTTTGAATTCAACACTGTCTCTTGAATTCTCTTTGGATTTTCCTTGACTTCAGGAAGATGTGGTTTTTTTTCATACTTAACTTCATCGTCTTTAGATTGTTTAATGGATACCTCGAAATTGTTATTCTTTAATTTATTATTATGAAAAATCTCTACAACATCATTGGACTTCTTCATATACTTTGGCGGATTGGATGGTGGTTGATGGATTGGTTGACAAGTATTTGATGAGCGATTGATGAGAGGTTGACAATTAATAAGAAGACCTGCGTCAAAAATTATCACAAATAACAGAGATTTATCTCTGAAGAGATAAATATAATTGTAAATAGATATGTAGACAGATTGTACATAAACTCGACTCCAAGAAGCGCAGAGGATCAATCATGTAATTTTTTTTCAAGAGCGGAAATGTGGAAAGTGAAAATTTTTTGTATGCATCTGTGTTTTATGTACATACATATACATATATAAAAATGTACACTTTTCACATTTTCGCTTTAGAGAAAAAATTATACGATCAATATACCCGGATCTCCAAGGGACGTCCTACATCGTAAGGGCGTTTTTCAGAACATCCCCTCGGAAAAATGTGCTGTGTGAGATTTTTCACCTTTATGCCGGCGCCTCTTCGCCTCTTTTCTACCAATAAAACCCGTGTCTCTGGTAGTAACTGTGCTCTTGGAAATGGAACTTCGTAACTTCGTCTTTCTCTTTCGCACTTTAGGCCCCGCGTTATTCACCTTCCGCACGGAGTTTATTTCGCTTCTCCCCGTTTTCGATCTACTTTTCACTAATCGTCTAGTTTTTGTGGTATGTAGAGATTCAGAATTCAAATTCAATTTCGAATCTTCAACATCTTCAATATCTTTGACACTTGGCCTCGCAGAGCACGGCGTTGCATGGATATAACTCTCGTCGTCAGCTTGCAATGTCATTCGCTCGAGGGACATTTTCGACGGAAAGTAATAACTTTCATATTCTTTACTCGCCTATTTATATCATCGAGCATGTAAATACAACAATATATATATATACTTAAAATACACATATATTTATAAAACATAATCTCGTACGCCTTCTTCCATGTTCTGAGTTGGCATTATTATCAAACGAGGAAGTTTCTTATCTAATTGAGTTTTCGGTGTAATTGTAACGTTCAATAATTCTTTTTGACTTCCCTCCATCAAATTCTCATCAGATCCCTTGATAGTACCATTATCGTTTATGTTTTTTCTAAGTGAAAACTGTGCAGACTTTGGACTCAAATTGAATGCATCTACGAAAACATAGATGTTTAAATATACAGATTGATTCTAATTCTGAAAAAATTTTTTACCAAAATTTTCTTCAGCTTTCAATTCCATGTTATGAATTCTCTGAGAGATGTTACAATTTGTAGTTCTATTGACATCCATAATTTCGCTGTTATAGTCATTACGTTCGAATGAAGACTTTGAATCTGAATTTTTAAATGACATTATTGACGAAATGTCAGAAACTTCTTTACTTCCTTTTATTTCCGTTTGAGCCTTTCGACAAACATCCATCATGTAATTTAATTCTGATTTTAACGTGAAACATTTGGTCTCCGCTTTATCCAATTCCAGTCCGATCCCTAAATGAAGTTAATAGTAGCTGGCATTGTTTAAATTATTTTTCATATTAAAATATTACAAATTGAAAGGCTATGAAATTGCAGCGCGATATAATCACTTGCTCACAAATTTTATTTTGTTCACTGGATTAAGCTAATATAATCAATGTAACTTATGTATAATACATAACAAGTTGAAATTTATGCACAACAATTATCGCGCTGCGGTACTTTCATAAATTTTTAATTTGTAAAATTTTAACTTGTAATTTTGAAAATCCTTTAACAATTGTATATATTTTTTATATAAACCGCTTTTGGACATCTAGAATTTGATAGAATTATCGAGGAGAGAAAGAGAGAGAGAGAGAGAGAGAGAGATTTAGAATCTCAGCATAACATTAATAGATAAAAATTCATAATATAATGTCAATATATAAATATTTAAAAAATTTGATTTTTATAGATGATACTTTTTAATGCGATGTTTGATCTGCTTTCTGGTTCATCTATTTTGCATGATTGCATTTCGAATTGATTTTTCAGAGGTAATTCTGAAAGCAAAAATATGACATAATATATAGAAATTAAAAAAAATCAATGTTAAGTATGATATTTAATTATAGATTTTTTTTTAAGATGTTCATCTCTATCACGATTTTATTATATTTATTTATTATTCATTACCAAAAGTTTCACTTATATCGTCATGAACATTCATGTTGGTTACATCAAATTTTTCTTAATTTTCACTCACGCAATTTAATATACAATTAAATTTTACATACATTATTCAAAATTTACGTTAAATTACACTGTTTTTGTCGTTTTAAAAATGATTTCTCGCAGTACATACATATAAAATATACGTACAAAATTAAAAAAAATAATACGTAGGTTACAGTTACACAACACGTTGGACGATCACATCGTTCTCTTGTCGCACGAATTCTTTTTTGTTTTGAAAAATTCATAAAGAAGCAAATTCAACTTATATACAATTTGATAACGAAAGTATCAAAAATTTTAATGTAGTGACGACAATTAAAATTAGAATCCGTATATGTATTCTTTGAAATTTTATTAAAAGAAGTGAAATCATTACGAATAGTTAAAAAAATCAAATTTATCTCAAAATTTAATTTGCCGTTTCGTGACGTTTGTTCTCGAATCGCGAATTCAGATTTTCTCATTATAATTATAATTATTATTAATTTTACTGAAACTAAAGCAATTATAAAATGAAGTAAATGGCGACTTTGACCAAATTCTAATTAATTTGAATAGTATAATCATTTAAGAAGCAAAATTCTATTTTTGTCCCATATATTAAACAGCAAAAAATAACTCTATCTATGTTATAAATAATAGATATTAAACAAATTAATAAAAAAAAAATGGAATTTGATCAAACTCGCGCACGAGATATTGTATTTCTCGAGGTCGAATTTAAATTTCGAGATTTCTCGAGCAATTCGCGCGCTTCTGTCACGTGACCGCGAGGGAACTTTTCGTCGCTAGGTCGCGCTCGGGTTCTCTTCGCGAGTGTATTTTAGGGAAGCGTACAGTGGCGGTGGCAGAGTAAGTGCAAGCGAGAAGTGAGTGGTATCGAGTTGCAAATGGTGGACAGTATTTGACCCTCGTCGCGTTAACATCAGGTAGGTGAACTCCAGCCGACGGACGACGTTGTCGAGATTGCGTCGCGTCTCTTGTCGACTGGTAACGTCGACGTCATCCGAGATTGTCGCCGGTCGGTTGACCGATCGATCGCGTCGTTTTATGGGATTATGCTCGGTTACGTAAAAATTCGCCACGGACCGAAAATAGTCACCTGACTTCACGATCTCGCGCCTTCCCCTTCTCTTCCTATCTATTTTGTATAGTCTTATCGAAAGGGGACGAAAAAAAAGAGAAACATTCGTGACAATTCGTGATAAGGGGTTCACCCAGTCAGATCGGTTTCGATCTCGCGCGCCTCGTGACGAAATCCTAACCCCTCATCCCTCGTCATTTTTGTGATGAGAAGGGGAGGCGTGGGCGAGTTCGTAGGTTAAGAGATACACGTTTAATCGTTTAGTTTTCTCCCGCGTGTTTTCTCTTCACGGTACAGATTGTGATATAAATCATCCGTATTTTCCGCGAATTATTAGGACGTTAATAGGCGTTAAAGGCTTGTTAGCAATATTGTTAGCACTCTCGTTTCTTGTTAGCGATTCAGAGGGGCCGGTTTTTTTTTTATTACAGTTGTGTGTACGCGCGTTTGATTTCTCCCCGAATTACAGCGATCGTTTTGCGTAGAGATGTAAAAAAAACGGTATTTTTTACTTCGGAAAAAAGTATCAAGTAAAAAACTAGTTTTTTTTTACTGTAAATAACTTCTATAGCAATAAATTTTAGGATTTTTCCGTCGTTTACATCTCTAGTTTTGCGTCTTACGTTATTTATGCTCTTTGACTTTTTTCCGCTTGCAAAGATACAATTTTGTTCGTAAAAGAAAAACGTACGAATGCTTGCATCATCCGCTTTCCTGTGAAATTTAAGTGATACGATTATCGCAGTCCCGAGAGAGAACGGCAAGGAGAAAAGAGAAAAGAGTAAAAGCGCGGTAAATGTAGAGTGTAGACACGTGCTGTCAGAAGTAGGTCATGTACGTGGTCTGAAAGATTTCCTTTCTTTTCCATTGAGAAAATAGATCGTAGACATCTGGAAGTTCCTTGCAACTCCACCTTTTTCTAAAAATTTTAACAAAGTAAATAGATCATTCACGTGGCCTAGAAATTTCTTGCAATTCCTTTTTCTTCTCAAAAATATTGACAATAAATATATTAATAGTAAATTGAAGATCGTAGCTTGGAAATTCGTAACTTTCCCTCTTTTCTCGAAGTTCTGGCAGCGAACAAACGAATTGTACACTTCATAAATATAGTATTTCCTGGTCTAGAAGTTTTTTGTAATTCCTTTTTTATTTCAAAAATTCTGACAAGTAAATAGATCGTACACGTAATCTGGAAGTTCCTCGCTTTCTCACTTCTCCTAAATCTCCTTTTTTCCCAAAAATTATGATAATGTGTCTGTTTCAAATCGATAGAATTGGAAATAATTGGAAGAAACGAACTCGTGTAATTAAATTGTATAATTTACATGATAGATCTTATCTTCGTCAATGTGTCACATAAATTAATTTACTGTAATTTGGTAAATATATACAGTTGTAATTTTAAGATTTTAAAGAGTAAAAAACGAACACGTTACTGTTAATACTGTTAGCAAAAAATATGTACATTTACTTTAGTAAAGATATGTTAATTGTCCTTATCGTTGATAAATTGATTGGTAAACTTACTGATAACTATATTTAATTTGCTGATTTGCTTTTATTATATCAGACGTACAAAAATTGTCGTGGTATGTATATATTTAAGTAACGGAGCGGCTACGTTCTTAAGACCGACGTGATCGCATCTGCATTTCTGACGTGATCGCAAACGACAATCAGGTATTCCCCACTTCCAGTCATTGCGATCTCACGGAGGTTCTCCTATGTAAAGAGACGGGGAGAGCCCGCAGTTTTTCCCGATAGTCACATGTGCCTGAACGAGGCCAGTAATCGCCTCGAAACGAATTCCGAGACAATCTTATCGCGTGTGTCACTAGGACTTTGAATTATTCTTCTCGACTATATCTTTTTTCCACGTTTTTCCACATATTTTGAGCGTCGGATAAAAGAAGACGAATAGGACTTCTGAAGGTAAACGCGGCATGTGTCTTGTAAGGATACAACTGTGGAGAAAAAACGATACTCGATGGCCTCGCCTTCGTTCCTTAAGTTTCTGATTTTATTTACTGTTAAAGTGAAAGGAAGTAAAATTAATCTGCGAATTTTTTTCTACTTTCTTTCTCGTTACTCTTGTCTTGATAGGTTTTTTATCTTGTAATCTAATCTTCGAAAAAAAGAGGGGCATGTACGTGACGCCAGATGTTCCGCCTCTCTAAGTGAATTATCTCGATTGATAAGCAGGATCTAATTAGAGATTTCGCTGTTAAATAAATAATAGATGATATTTGCCATTTTAGATATGATTATTGAGAAATATTCTAATCGTAATTACTTTTATACGTTAAAAGCTCTCAAGGTTTCGAGTTAATATGTATTCATAAATATTTAATAAATATTCCATAATAAATATACAATTATTTTAATTAAAATTTGACTGTCTAGCTTGAAACAATAATAAGATTCTTTTTTTAGAAGAAACACTTCTTTTTTATGTTAAGAAAAAGCAATATTTCATAGTATTTTAACTCATTGTTAGACTATTATTGCGTTTCTGACAGATACAATGACATTTATCAAAGCTTATCTGGAACTCCGTGAAGTCCTGATAATGCAAACTTTGGATTTACTTGTGTACTATGCTTTCTAATCTTTACTCTACTTTTTAAAGGAAGTACTTTAGATAACATTTTGTGCATTACTACAAATATATTGTCGTGAGAATCTGTTGACGTATGCAATTTTATATTTATGCAGAAGTATATAGGAAATATGTGTTCTCTTAATAATATTTTTTAATTTATTATAATTTTTTCTCCGAAATATTTAAGGTGTGTTACGACATCAAAAAACATCAAAATGTCAAAATTATACGAATGTATAATTATATGAATGGATTGTAAATTCTGTGTTATGACACATTAATATTTAGCGTGAAAAGTTGCTATTATAAGTGGAGAAAAATGAATAGTGCAATTCAAAACGTCATAAATTGTGCCATTGGCATTTTTACTTGGACTTACGTTTTAAAATTTTAACTTCAACCTAATTTTTTAAAAATTAAAATTAACTAAAATTTTGTAGAGATTAATTGCTTATGTCTTTAGTTATTATATACAGTCTTATATATAGTCTTTATTTATATACAGTATTTTTTAATAAAATTTTTTAAATAACTTTTTTTTTTTTTGAAAATTAGAAAGGAGTTATGTTTTGCTGTGACAAACCTCATTGCATTTTTTTTTCCTCGAACATTGTTACGCAATTTGAAAACTGGCCAGTTCTTAGAATAAAAATAGAATAGTAATATCTCAGTGTTTATGATAATAAATGTACTGTGTATCGAATTTTGTTATCGTTCCCTTCTTTAGGATCGAGCTTCACAGAAAATAAGAGAAATACAAGGGATTCCGATGGGGATCCCTTGTATTTTCATTGTCCTCTATTTTTGGTTCTCCTGAGCTCAATTTTATAAATTTCTCAAAAAAGCAAACAGGAAAATATTCTTAAAAAGTCACACTGTTAGAATATATAAAAAACAAAAAGTTCAGTTTCTCGAAATTTTAAACCCCTCTGATCTCCTTTAAAGCGCATTATAAAATACAATTTTATATATAGCTCGAATAACTGCGTCATAATTCTGCTCTCAATCACCTGACAGTAATTTATAATACTTATTAGATATCTCGAGAGCTCAATTTTATTTATTATGATTATCAATTATTTGTATGTCTTAATGATAAATATATTTTCTGAAATTTTATATAATAATCTTTTATTGAAGTTCCGGGAAATTGTACAATAGTTATACTTGTAAAGTTACATTTTATTGATACTTTACTTTTATGAATATTAATTGTATGTCAAATTTGACGTATTACATTTAATAATGACGCAATTATGTTTACATGATAAGATACAGTATAACGAATGCTACGAATACGTCTATACATATATCGACTCAGGTTTTATTTAACCTTATGCACAAACAAGCGCGCATATACATATATATTGCAACATATGAGAACAGCTAAATGCACCAATCATGCTTACACAATTGCAAAATGCGCCTTTGATATTCTCCGCATTTCTTAGTAATCAATGGATGACATAAAGGCAAAGTCTAGAATTTCAGTGATGCAATGAGAACAATGATAAGATGACAGACTATAATAGATAAAGCCAGATTGTGATTGTACGTGTAAGATTTGTTTAATATACGTTGCTACTGCGCTTATCAAAGTTTATATTCTCATTAATGCCTCATGACCGGGCATGACATTTGAATCTTTGTTTAATTTAATTGCAATTGCGGTCTTAAGACAGCGCATATCCATTTAATAACTTTAGATATTTAAATGATACATAAAATTTGGGTATGCCTTATCGGTAACTATGTTTACGCAATTTCATTATTTACATCTCTTCGATATGAAGCAAGATAAGGCATTGAATGATTTGCCGTGTTATGTTCCAGGTGAAAATGTATAAAGCAAGGACAGTATTCAGTACGCTGGTCCCTTTGGCGCCGCGCATATGCGGGCCCGAAAGATACGCATCCTGGGTGGTCCGTAGTCATTCATTGACTAGGACCAGCCAGTTGATTTTCACGGAGCCCGCGCGCAAATACAATAGCCGAGTAGCAACCGAACCCTTCTTGAATGGCAGCACCAGCTCTTACGTGGAAGAGATGTACAACGCGTGGCTGCAAGATCCACACAGTGTGCACGTGGTAAATAAATTTAAATGCATCTTTGCACAAACATTCAAATCAATTTTTTATTACAAGGGAAATTAAAACCCGACGAAAGATAAAAAGAGTGTCTATTTATTATTTTTACTGTTTTCTTTTGTAAAAACTATTTAATTGTGTCGGTTGTTTATATTATAGATGGAAAGATTTTGCTTAAATTTATTTTGTTCTTGTTTATTTGTAGTCATGGGATTCCTTCTTTCGAAACAGCACCGCTGGAGCTGCCCCAGGATTCGCATATCAGGCACCACCATCCCTCGCTCCAAGTTACAATCAAGTACCACTCGGAGCGTTGTTGCCCCTGGGTGGCGGAACGCAACTCGGCCAGGCGCCTGTCAATGAAAAAATTATTGATGACCATCTAGCGGTGCAAGCTATCATTCGTTCTTATCAGGTACGATATTTTGTTTACTTTACTCCTGGTAATGAATATAGATGTGCTACTCTTGCAAACAAATACATATTTTGGATATGATAATTTATCGTGTGTAAGATTATGAAGAATATTTAAGAGTGATTGATAATTCACGTAATCATTACTACTTGCATTATTTTTGTTTGCAAGATTATTTTATTCAGTCATGTATAATTTAAATGATAATTAATAACAGTAAAAATTGCTTTTTAATATTGATTATTATGCATAAATTAAAAATACTATTTTTTAATAAATTTCTGCTCCTATCTCTATTATCTATATAAATAATAATGTCGTAATGTAAAATAATGTAATATTCTTTTACTATTATATAACATTTAATAAATTAAATGGGAACCTGGAGAAATCTGCTTTTGAATCATACTAAATTGGTCCATTAAAAGCTGCATGTATAAAAATATATATAATAGCAATATGTTAAAAATATAAGGCAAGTATTTTTATGGTGTATGTTTTTATTTTAAGATCGTCTTAAAGATATCCGTCTTAAAGATCTTAAGATGCTAATCTATATTAATAGAAATGAACATTAATAATTGGAACATTAATAATAAACACTATTTTAAGTGTATTCCTAAAATGTTATAATTTATAACATTTTAGGAATACACTTAAGATAGTCTTGAAAAACTACGACTATAAATACCGGCCATTGATATTTGTAGTTGAATGTTAAAAAAATTTTAATGCGATAAAAGTTTACGATTTCTCAACTTTGCCATTACCAAAACGAAAGCTATTTCTTATTATATTTTGAAATGTATTCATATATTACGGAAATTGCCATGGCATGCATTTATACAGCCATTTATTCGTTCAATGAAGTTTACATGCATACGTATATGTAGATACATTGTAAATTTCATTGAAGAAAATATTTTAATATCTTTTGTGTCTCAGTTTCATTTCCATGGAACAGATAGAATGTTTTTTGATAATATGTATGTGTTAAAATTTATATTTATGTATTTTGCGCGATTATAAACTTTATGCGAGAATATATCTATATGAGTCTGGGACGTGGAATGTTTTTTTTGTTGTATTTCTGCTTAATGTTAGGGGCTATCATGTGTGTTTCCAAATTTTCTGACATTCTGTTTGTCTCAAGTATTAACACATGATAAATATATTGAATACAAATAGCAAATATTATGAATATTGCATAATAGCCTCATTTTTTGTATGACTATACTAGTGACTCACTGCATCTTCTATTTCAAGCATGTCTTGCATTTTTATATTTTTTTCAACAAAAAAAATGGATAATTTTTTAAATTATGATTTTTTATGTCTTAATCTTTTTCCTTCTTCTCAATACATATAGATACTCCTATCAAGGAAGAAGCAGCAGCACACTATTTCTAATCATTTTATTAAAACTATGATAACTATATTTATTATAACAATGATTCTATTTTTTTTTTACTATAGTGAAATTATAATCATGAAATAAACGAAAAACAGAATCCATTTCTTCACAAACATTGTTGCAATAAATATCAATAATATGTGTTATCTTAGTGTATGCTATAAGTAAATATAATTGGGATATTTGTTTGCTAATTTTGCTGTATATAGCTGCTGTATTTTTTTCTTTTTTTTCTACATTGTAATTATGTGTACAGCATAGTTGTGAGAATAGACACAGTTTATATAAATGTGAGGTTTTTTTCGGGATTATTGGCGTATAGGCCCGAGGTCACTTAGTTGCTGATCTGGATCCGCTGGGTATTATGCAAACAGACCTGATACACACTCATTATGCAGCACGCAAAGGATCTCCAGAACAAGTGTTGCGACAGTATATGCTTGGTAAGATTTTTCTTCCTAAGCATTTTACGCGGGCTTTTGTTTTAAAGACGCGTTTTCTTGCCATACGTGCCATACGTATATGAGAATCGCATTGTACTTGATTTGGAGTGATGTGGTATATACATATAGCCGTAAATTACTCGGTTCATGTTTACTGTAATTTTATTCATAATACATTCAGTATTATCATTTTATGTAATCATCTTCACATATTAATCTCACTTTTGCCAAGTTGAAAGAATTTTTTAATTTTAGATAAAATTCTAAGGACCATAAAATAGAATTTTTCTACTTTAGATAAAATTTCAATCTTTTTAGAAAATAACTACGAAAATTATTTATAATTTTGATACAATTTTAGGCGACGCAATTTTATCTTAATGATTTTCTCTACAACGTATGGAACGTATTTCAAAATTATATTGAAGTAATATCTATATAAAGTAAAATAAGAAATAATCAGTTATTATTTTTTTGATATTTTTGGAAATTATTTTAAGTTTTTTTTTTATTGAAAATACCTTACAAATAATTTATTCCTAGTAATTAAAAAGAATTATACAAATCTAAATATTATGTATTACAAAAGAAAAAGCGAGTCTTGTGGCATACTGATACTGAAAATGTTTGGAAAAACATTGTACTCATTTTAGGAATCACAAAAATGAATGCGTCTCATCTTTTATCTCATAATTATCAATTATCTAAGGATTTCGTAATTTGAATATTCATATACATGCGCAGACATTGTCGAGTATGACATTTATCATAATGCATTCATTGTGTTTATATTTGACAAAAAGTAAAAATAGATAAATGTACATTGCCCAATAATATATGAGTAAAACGTTGGAGGTAAGAATAAAGGAATTTATGTTGATTTTTTTGCATGTATGATTTATATATGTTATTGTATATGTATTGCTTTTGGACATCTGCACATATTTTTCGTCTAGTATGCTTGTCTTTATAAAATTTGTATACACTAACATACTGCACGCGATTATTTTTTCTTGTGTGAGTTGCAATAAATAAGGGGATGTTTGAGCAGACACTTATTATTATATCTTAAATTAAATATAACATATAATTAAACAAATATAACATATTAATAATAGGGAAGTTAAGGAGCAGATAACATTTACAAACGTTAAGATATTAGCTTCGTATGTTGTGCGTATTTAATATTAATTACTGTGATGATGTTTTCTTAAAGAGCATGACGATAGCTTGCATCGAATACCATGTATTATCTATGTCATGATGCACATTCTTTGAGTAGAACATCAAATATAGTAATTTATATTTTGATTAAATGTACTTAAATCAAATGAGAATTTGAAAATGATTTGGTTCGCATGAATGTGGCGTTAAATTGACAGATTCGTGGCCATCATATCGCTAAATTGGATCCACTCGGCATCAACAGCGCTGATCTTGATGATAGACATCCGCAAGAATTGCTCTATACCCATTATTCATTCGGTAAGCTTAATTGAACGTGTTTCTGCGTAAATAGAGAAGAGTAAAAAGAATTACTCTCGAAACGTTTCGATGCAAAAATGCATCATCGGTGCATTTGAAAACTAGTAATCGAATGACTATCGAATATTAAACGATAATGATGTAACAATCACAGTTATATATCTTCGAATGTTTTTGTCTATTAATTTTCTCTATAAAATTTATTTATAGGCTGCTATTGTATAAAACTGCATTTAATTTCTTCTTTCTTGTTTAATTCAAATGTGGAGTGAATATTTCATTCTTTCAAGTAACTTATACAAATGGAAACATACTATAAAGTTTTTTTCGCATTATTAATTCACTATGTTATTCAGTATATTAATTTATCGCTTGTTTTAATATAACACTTAATATAACACACAAAATTCTTTTAATATAACACTTTTTTATATTATATATTTACTTTTTATTTTCTTTATTTGTGAATAAATTGTTGGTTTGGTATTGCTGGTACCAAAAAAAGATATCATTGAAAGGTAGTGTGCAACATACGTTTAATTTAATATTTATATAAGCAGAGATCTAGATTTATCGGTTAATTTATTAAATTTCTCGTTTTATTACGAGTAAGTATGAGCTGAATGCAGCAGGTCCTTGCAAAGAATCCTGAATCCTTGGGATTAATTTCGATCCGATCGTTGAGTTTGAGTCTAATGTCCACAGGGAAGAGACCACGCACTACTTTCTCGCAGCAACTTCAATACCGAGCTGTCCTAATGCAAAGTATGTAGTCGCCACCCAAAACGGGAGTTTCCCGCTCTTTTACTTATGCTAGCATATTGGGAGGCACTGGTTTATCTTGAGTTTGAATCAAGATAATTTTTGGCCGAAAGCCTGTATACAGGTGCTTGGGTTCTTCTGCGTAAACTTCTCGACTATATAAAGATATTCGCAAACAACAGCTAGTTTTCAAACGTTTTCCATACAGGAATTAGAGGAGAGACATTTGAGTATCGATGTCGAGTTACGAATATCTTAATATAGATGGACTATGAATACGGATGTAAAACTTAAAAAAAAAAATAATTTTGTTTTACTTTCTCTCCTGTCTATTAAATCAAAGTGTGGCGTATATTATCTCTGAAATTTTTCTAATATATATTTTTTTCTTTTTATCTTGTGTTCTTATTTATATTGTCTTTTTTGCTGTATATTTTTTATTACATCTTTTTAGTTAGTTTGAAACATTTTCAAATGGTTGACTCAATGGTGGTTGTTGTTTGAACTAATGATGCTTTACTTAAGCTCACAGCTTTTCTTTTGCATCAAAGAACTTTGTTTTTCTTTGAGTTTCGTATTTGTTTGCACTGTCGTGCGTATAGTGATATGTTGTGACCATCAATATCCTTACATATTTTCCAAAATATACTGCATGTTCGTTTCAGCAGATATTTTGCAGTATGTAAATATTGTGTCTATTAAAGAAATATTTATATATATATATGCGATGTATATTAAATATTTTTTAAATTAAAAATAATTATTCTGTTTTTACTACAAGAAAGTAATTACTGTTGAAAATGAAGTTTTAAAGACATTTTCAGTATCAGTTTTAAAAAGAACAAATTAAAAAAAGTATATTTTAGTACAGTTAAACTTATACAATTACATTTTATTTATTATAAATGAATTATTTGATATTAAATAAATAGAAACGCGCGATGTATTTAAACATCTTACAGTAATATCTATAAATATATTAGAATTGTAATTTTTTATTATGAATGTTGATTTATAAAACGCATGTATTTTTTATTTCAATTGCTTAATACAGAGGAGTCGGACATGGATCGTGTTTTCAAATTGCCATCCACCACATTTATTGGCGGCAAGGAGAAATCATTGCCGTTGCGTGAGATTCTGAAACGGCTCGAAGCGGCTTACTGCGGTCACATCGGTGTTGAGTTCATGTTCATTAACTCTTTGGAGCAGTGCAATTGGATCAGGCAAAAGATGGAAACACCCGGAATCATGGAAATGACGAATGACGAGAAGAGACTTATTTTAGCCAGATTGACACGTGCAACCGGGTAATAACATCGGCGCTAATTAAATGAATTCCAAAAATAGTGCTAGCTTTGAAGTTGACAATTTTTAGGAAACCCAAAGTATTTAGTCCTTATTTGTATTTTTTTATATTTTATAATCTTTTTTGTCATAATTTATATTTAAATGGAATTTTTTTCTAAAATAACTTTTTAAAGAAAAATTAAATCGACATGTAAAAGTATGGAATTTAGTTTCTCACATATTTGCTTAGCGTCTAAGAAATATAATTAGGAAATATAACTATATAACTAGCAAGTGTCTAAATCACAGATTCGAGGCATTCTTGGCACGCAAATGGTCCTCGGAGAAGAGATTTGGTTTGGAGGGTTGCGAAATTTTAATTCCAGCTATGAAGCAAGTGATTGATAAATCCACGGAATTGGGAGTTGAGTCGATTGTCATGGGTATGCCTCACCGTGGTCGTCTCAATGTTCTCGCTAATGTCTGTCGTAAGCCACTGAGTCAAATTTTTACACAATTTGCTGCTCTCGAAGCCGCTGATGATGTAAGCATAAAACGAATTGTGTTTATTTAATTATAGAATTTAATTATAGAAAGTGTATTTTGCTATCGCGGCTAATTTGTCGATTTGAGATTCTTGGTAACGGTAAAGTGATTCCAGGGTTCTGGCGATGTGAAATATCATTTGGGCACTTACATAGAACGTCTTAATCGAGTGACGAACAAGAACATTCGTCTGGCTGTGGTTGCAAATCCATCGCACTTGGAGGCCGTAGATCCGGTGGTTCAAGGCAAAACACGCGCCGAGCAATTTTACCGTGGCGATGGCGAAGGCAAAAAAGTAAGCAATACATATAAATAAAATTGTACCTTGAATACTTTTTGTAATTAGGTGGCAATGAGCGGATACTAAATAAAGAAAAATGACTTTAAAAATTTAAGTTATGAGATTAAATAATTATTAAAATGATTAAATATTATTGATTATTGGATATCAAATAATATAGTGCAGCTATATTATCTTAATAATATAATCTTGATTTGTTTATAAATATTAATTAATTTTGATGAATATAATTTTATTTGTCTCTAGGTCATGTCCATTCTTCTTCATGGAGATGCTGCGTTCTGTGGTCAAGGTATTGTCTTCGAAACAATGCATCTATCTGATCTGCCTGATTACACAACCCACGGCACTATTCATATTGTTGTGAATAATCAGATCGGTTTTACCACCGATCCGAGGCATTCACGATCGTCGCCATATTGCACTGGTTGGTATTTACTAGTGAAAACTGATTTATGTTTTTTCTGTAATAGCAGTAATTCTCACGAATTTATTTATCAGATGTGGCTCGAGTAGTAAACGCACCCATCTTCCATGTGAATTCCGACGATCCCGAAGCCGTAATGCATGTGTGTAAAGTTGCGGCAGAATGGAGGGCTACCTTCCACAAGGACGTTGTGATCGATTTGGTCTCCTACAGGCGCAATGGCCACAACGAGATTGACGAACCGATGTTCACTCAGCCTCTGATGTATCGTAAGATCAAAGATACTTTGTCAGCTCTTGACAAATATGCCAACTCGCTCATCGAAAGTACTGTCGTCACTCCTGCGGAAGTTGAGGTATGAAGTCAGCAAGTCAGTCAGTCAGTCTCTCTCTCTCTCTCTCTCTCTCTCTCTCTCTCATATATTTTATATTAAACAGTGTTTTTAAGACTGTTACGTGAAAATAAAACTAAAAAATAAACATCCAGCTCAAACCATATAAAGCAATTTCATTTTATAGCAAATATTTTATATAATTACTTTTGCAATATAAAAGCGCTTATTCTTTATAGGATGTCAAAGCCAAGTACGAAAAGATCTGCGAAGAAGCATATAACAATGCTAGGCAGGAAACACACATTAAGTACAAAGATTGGTTGGATTCGCCATGGTCAGGTTTCTTTGAAGGAAAAGACCCGTTGAAGGTTTCGCCTACTGGTATCAAGGAAGACACGCTTATACATATTGGAAAGAAATTCTCATCGCCGCCACCGAATGCTGCTGAATTTGTCATCCACAAAGGTGAGTAGAGCAGCGTTAAAAGATGAATGTGATAATATTTTTTTTCTAATAAAAAGATATATTAAATTAAAATAAACCTGAAATAAAACATAATAAAAAATTAAAATTACAAACTTATAAAAATATATATAATAATATAACTTATAACAAATTTATATAGTAATTCATGTAGCAATATATAATTTATACAATAGAGTTAGGAAAAACGGCAATTATTTTATTACAGGTATCGAGCGTATTTTGAAATCTCGTATGGAAATGATTGAGGCTAGAACTGTCGACTGGGCTCTTGGCGAAGCTATGGCTTTCGGATCTCTTCTCAAGGAAGGTATTCACGTTCGTTTGTCAGGTCAGGATGTGGAAAGAGGCACGTTCTCTCACAGGCACCACGTATTGCATCATCAGACTGTAGATAAGGCAACTTATAGACCACTCTGCTATTTATATCCTGATCAGGCACCTTACACAGTGTGCAACAGTTCTTTATCCGAATTTGGCGTTCTCGGTAAGAGAAATTATAGTTTTTACAATCTTATATATAATTATAATACATTCTCAATGTAGTAACTGTACTGAAAATCTGCAGCATTTATAATGTGAATTATAAATTTTTAATGGTTAGTGTATTTCGAAATGTACTATATATATTAAGTACTCATAATTTTTTCATATTAAAATAATTTGTAATTATAGGATTTGAGCTAGGTTATTCTATGACGAATCCTAATGCTTTGGTATGCTGGGAAGCTCAATTCGGAGACTTTAACAATACGGCGCAATGTATAATTGATCAGTTCATCAGCAGCGGTCAAGCCAAGTGGGTTAGACAATCCGGTCTTGTCATGTTGCAACCACACGGTCTCGAAGGAATGGTAAATCTATAAAATTATTAAATTATTTTATGATGTATATAATTTATTTTTTGAAATATGACATGGAAACCGGTTACCATTCACCTCATATTCACTTACACAACTTCAATCTTCTAATCTTATATAATCGAGGCATACATATGAATCAATCTAACAAGTCAATCGTTTGCAATAATATAATTTATTTATTGGCTTCAAATTTGCATTCTTTTTTTTTTGTAGGGTCCCGAGCATTCTAGTGCTCGTTTGGAACGATTTCTTCAAATGTCCGCTGATGATTCGGATTATTTCCCACCGGAAAGTGAGGAGTTTGCTGTTCGTCAGTTGCACGATAGTAACTGGATCGTCGCTAATTGCAGCACACCAGCGAATTATTTCCACATTCTCCGACGTCAAATTGCATTACCGTTCAGGAAACCATTGATTCTGATGACACCAAAGTCGCTGCTCCGTCATCCAGAGGCTAAGTCTAACTTCGACTTGATGCTAGAGGATACACAATTTCTCAGAGTGATACCTGAAGAAGGTACGGCAGTTCAGAATCCCAACGGCGTTAAGAGGTTGCTGTTCTGCTCCGGAAAAGTCTATTATGATCTGAAGAAAGCGCGCACAGAACAGAATTTGGAAGACAAAGTCGCGATTGCGAGAGTGGAACAGGTCAGTTGTTATTTTTAGAATGTTAATCATCAATCATTATGTAATTAAATGAAATTTAATTACATAATTAATTATAAATTTGAAATATTCAATGCATGTCAACATTTTAATCGATTCTGCTATAGATCTCGCCTTTCCCGTACGACCTCGTCAAGATAGAGGCTGCTAAGTATCCGAATGCAGAGTTGATCTGGGCTCAGGAAGAGCATAAGAACCAAGGCGCATGGACTTACGTGCAACCTAGGTTCCACACGGCGCTTAATGGCATCCGAAACGTAGTGTAAGTATCAAAAACTGATAGCGTTTTCAACTGCAGTGATTTTGAATTCATAGTTGATTAAAGTCATATGGTTTATTTTGGTTTTTGAACGAGATCACTTACGGTCTTTAATCAATCAACTTTACTCAATCAATCTCGGATCGATTCAAATTCACTGCAGCCGAAAATATGTACACTGAAATATATGTATGTGTGTGTATGAATGCACCCATGTTACACTATATTGCGTTTTAGTTTTTTATATTTATACCTTTAACTGTTTACACGGCCCACTTTTTTATTTTGCGATAATGAGTGCGATGTCAAAATTTCGCAATCGATATATTTGGAGAGTAACGCGCTTTTGTTATAAGTTATCTCTTTATTATGAGTTATAAAGACAACCGTTTGCTTTCCTCGTTTTATATGTTCTATTAAAATAAAATGAAAATTTGGGCCGTGTTGCAGTAGCGCGTCAAACTCAAATGGTCAAGGGTGGTTTGCCGGTTTGTTCTCGTCGACTAAACCGATTGAAACCACAACTGTGTCAAAGCCGCAAACAACGGAACCAACGGAACCAAAGCAAAGAACAGTGAGGTAATATCGGCAAGATAATCAATGGAAGATTGTATTAATATAAAATTATTGTGAATTAATTTCCATTTAGATATATTTATTTTAAAAGTATCATGAACGAATCATTGAAATATTATTTTTATTTATGATTATATGTTACAAAATTTATAATATTGCAATTACATTAAAAACATGAAAATATATTTTATTTGAAATAATTATGAAGTTGCGGTAAATTAAATTAATTATAAATTAATTATAAATTTGCTGCCAATGGTAATGTTTACACTTTGAATACATACTTTAATGTTTTCTTTATTTGTTGGAATCGAGTGATATTATCAGTGTATATTGTAATTGTATCGCATTTTAAAAGTAATATTCATATTTTGAGCAAAATCTGTATTGGTGTTTTAGGTACGCTGGACGTCCCACTGCATCGTCACCTGCCACTGGAAGCAAAATGCAACACCTCAAAGAACTCAAACAGTTGCTCGATGACTCCCTCAACTTTTAATAATCCTTTGTGGCACTACATGTAGAACTGAAAGTTTATTTATTTTTCTCTTAATGTACACATTATGACAATTTTGTGTCTTGCTCGACATACACCACAGAACAGAGATTATATTATCATAGCCGATTAAATGATTTCTTCGAACACAATGGCGAAGTCCTATTTAAGTTCGTAGCGCGCACAAATGTTTCACGCTCGTTTATTTGAAATATATTTTTTTTCTCTTGTTTCTTAATTTTTCTTTTTTTTCCTATTAACGCATGTATATACATAGCTATCACAGTTTTACAGGCTAAACTGTGACAGCTTTCCATTAATATACTTGAATATTGATTATTAATTTATATTAGCTTTTAGCTCATGCTGTCTCTCAATCAATTACTCATTTACATGTGATTTAATTCTTTTTACCTATGTTTGAATGTGATTTTTATGCATTTTTTTCTGGAATCTGCGCGTTTTCATATGTAGGTCTGAATGATATGCTTAATGCGTGTGATTGGGTTTGTTGGAAATTTAGATATATATCATTTTATAGATATATATATATAAATAAGCAAAAGAGAAACTTGCTAGTCCATTAATCTACGTAAACGTGAAACATTTGTACGTTCATTGTTCTCTGTACTTCAGCCTGTTTATACTTTAATTCTAAATTAATTTTGTGAAGTCAATAAGATTTTACAGAAAGGGAAAGTATTATTAATTTATGCAATGTTACGCAGCGCGTACATTTTAACGTGTAGTAGCGTATAGTCCTGTAGTACACTTCGGACCGAAGAGACTGTCTATGGCAAAAGGCTACGTGGTACATAATGGCCAATTTTTTTTCTCTAGTAATTTATTTATGCGCCATGAGACTGTTGCCAATCACTTTAACTTTTTATCGTCGCTGTATTTTTATAAAAAATTAAATGATTGGCGGATTATGCAGCGTTCTCGACGCAAAAGAAGTGTGACGTAGCACTAATCCTTCGAGATATATCTCTACTTGGCTTCGGTTGTACTGACACGGTGACACATTAGATGCTAGTAATAGAAGCACATCGAACTCGGATCTTTGATCTTGGTTTAAACTTGATTGCGCGACCGACGCCCTAGTGCTACCCCATGGACAGTGTCGACGGATGCAGCTCTCAGTAAAAAATGTTGAGAGTGGAAGACAAATTAGTAATATCTAATAGCGTTTAGAAATTAATTTTAATAATAATAATTTAGCCGAAAAAAGGCCGTGGTTCGCGTGTATAGTGTAGTGAAAGTGCGTAGTATTTAATATTCTTCTATCTGGATCGTTTGAAAAATGGAACGCACGAAGAATCTTGAGACGCTATGCACGATCTTTGCGCTGATCAAAAGAGACCTTGTAATATTCGTTTTGTATTGTTGGAAAGCAGGTGCTGACAAGAAAGCGGTCTTATATTTTACTTGATATCTTACAAAATGATAGTTATGTGATATCTCTATTGATCTAGCACGATATTATTGTTAGTTCAACAAAAGACACAATATCGTTCTACTTGTTCCTATCCGTTGCATCCGTCATATATGCGTAATTGTAATACACGGAATACGTATATGCTTAAAACAAATTTTCTGTCAAACAAATAATGTCTGACATTAAAAATTTTATTTAGCAAATACCACTGATATTACACCCGATATTGTAGCGTATTATTGCTAATTGAATTAAATTGTCTCATCGTCTCCACGTGTCGTGATCAATCTTGCTCCCTTCGAAATAGTTCCTTGAAACATAATAATAGAAAGAAAATGTAGCTCGTATTGCATAGATATTTTTCAGAACGTTAAGAAATGCGATATGTTGATACCTATTTAATAATAAGTATTCAAATCGTAAGAAAAAAAATTGATTTCATAAATTGAAATATTAGAAAGGAAAGGAGGATTAAAAAACTCGACATATTTGTGAAAATTAATTTTTCATTGTGCGTGATGTTAAAAGTATAATATAGTGTGTAAATAGAGTGTCAAAAAATAGATACATCGAAATATGTGGAAAGAAAAGAGTAAGCTATTTTTGTGCAAGCCAGCGAAAAGTATTAATCTCGAGTAGAATGCAATGTTGCAAGCCACGTACTACTAACAGCGCGTATTAAAGTAAATATTATTACGCTTAAGAAATACACGGCACTGCATTTCATCGGATAAGCAATGAATATCAAGTAGAAAATGTTCTTTTCCGAAGAACTAGTGCAATAAGTTAGAGTGAAACAAACTATACCTATCTCGCTCTAATTTATTACATCAGTGTACAACAGTTCAGAACTTGGGATGGAAAAAGAACAGACCTAGAATTCCGTCAAATTCGCGCTTCTAAATCTTCGCTGGTGCAATAATGTAATTTAATTGCCTAAACTGGACACGCTCGACACTCGTTTTTTTTTTGCGTAGTACAATAAATAAAATATATAGATTTATTTATAATATAAATAAACAATGTAATATATTTATAGCGTCAGTTCGGCTTAAAATTCGGTCTGCCCCAGCACACTGTACATAATCCTCTTGAAGCTGTTGCTCTGATGGATCTTCTCGCCATCATCATCGAGCACGTTTATCTGAAAATTGAATTATTCCGCTCTCCACGTCTTCAAATTATAAAGATGCTCCACAAATGAGCTATGTTTTAATCTGTATTAAGGCGTATTTTCTATCTCGCAAAACGGCATGCATATATTCGTAGTGAATTAATGCGCAGTATGTAGAAAACATATAGTATTGCAGTGAGAGCGTATTTATCCTATGAATTAATTTATCTACGCAGAAGCAGGTGAGCATTTAATGTAAAAGTATCAGAAAATGCACGTACAAGTTTCTGCGGAAATTTTAATAGTCGTTGATAAGATCCTTAACGAAAGGGAGAGGAAAAGGACGTCTATATGATCCACCCTTAATGAAACAGATGCCGAAGATTAGATCGATGGAGTCTTTGACTATGATGGTTAACGTTAGTGACGATAATGTATATTAGATGTACTAACACGAGGTAATTATCGTTAAACAATCGGAACGATTTGACGAAAAATATGTCTTTGAAAATTTAAGGATGTATTAAATGTATAATCTGCAAAAAATGACAAATCAAATATTTGTAGTACTTATACTTTTTGTATAAAGACTTAAAAATGAATGTCAATACATACAAAACAATTGAATAAGGTCAATATTTAGCAATTTTTTAGTTTAAATGAAAATTTTCTCATTTTATCTTAATTATTTTTTATGAAATAATTTTTGATCCAGTTTTGTTTAAATCGTCTCTAAACGTTTTATATTGCTCTCAAACGCGATATAGAAAAATGTAATTTTTTTGTTTTGTTAAAAAATGCGTATAATACATCCTTAAAGAAGGAAGTATCAAATCCTCCGCGCAATATTCCGTCGGTGAGATGCGGGCGATTATTACCGAGAGATGACTTGGCACGGTGTTTCAGTAGACGAAAAAGAAAGAAGAACAGAAGAAATAGCGTCTCGTGCCAAGTCGCTTATATAATTCGATGCCGTTTTATCGTCCGGCTGCGTTGGGTAACTTATAAGAGTACGTGGTGCCGAGCCAGTGATCGATAAATCATTTCGATAAATAAATGGCGAAGTAAAAAGTGACCCGGTAATTGAGTAACGTGAAAAATGATTGTGATCTTGCTATTTTAACGACGAAAGAAATATTCTCAAAATATTTTCCTTGTCGAAATCGTTGAAAATTTTTTTCAACAATTCGACGTTTCTCTACAGATCTGCGAGGTGAGCAATACAGCCGACCGATTTCGCGCGAAATGTAAAGATTCTCAAATTCGCGTCGAGAATATAGTAGTCTACGCAGCTGCAGCGACAGCTCTGAAATTCTTGCACAGAACCCATGCGGCGACATGCGAGTGAGAAATGCATTTCCGCGTGATCTCAGCCCGGCAAAATATTTTCTACTGTGCGTTCCGCAAAATCGATCGTGAATCTGATCGAGAATAATGCGGATACTTACATATGCAGGACTCTTGGGCGGAGCCTGGTATACCTGTACAACAAATAGTATCGTTGAAGTAGAATAGTATCGCAGTTTCTTAAATTTTTCCTCAAATTCTTCATATAATTTTTCATAATTTCTATATAAATTTCAGATTTTTTTCAAAATTTCTGTATATAATTTTATAACTTTTTACAACATTTCTGAGTTTTTATATTATACAAATTAGATTTTTCAGAAATACTGAGGAAGTCTAGATTTTCCTAGAATTCTTTATATAAGTATGTGAATTCTGAAATTTTTCATTGTATAATTTCCAAAGAAAAATTTCCAACGAAATCTAAAAGTAGTTTTCAGAAATCTTCACAAACTTAAAAAATTCTTAAAAATATTACCGGATATGAAAAATTTTTTTACCAGTGAAAAGAGAAGAATTTATTGATTCAAGACGAAAAAATTGAGCGTCGAATTGCCGAGAAGAAAAAATTTACGTACTCTGCTCGATTTCTGTGGCGTGAAGACACCGGTGCGAGCCGGCTGTCTGACTTCCTGTACCTGATCCCCGTATTCCTCCTCTTGCAGGGCCTTGTACGCCTCGCTCTTGCTGGGATCGTACTTGACTGGTTTCTTCAGGCTGCACGTACCGCATGTGTACACAGGGGACGACTTTTAATTTCTCTTTTATTCTCTCTCACGTGTGACTTTTATCTTTCTCTTTTCTTTTTGTTTTGTGTTTTCTATCCAGATCGGTTAGCAGCGGCCGGGGTTACAATTTGTCAATTTGCACTTGCACATTTAATTATGCTTTAGTCTGTTCGAGAGCGACTTTCAGACGCGTCCTTCAGTCGAGTTCAATCGAGAAAGAGTCATTCCTCATCGTGCAAACCCTGCGTGCATGCCCGATCAAGAAGAACGCGTTCGTCGGACACTTCAAAAATTGCGCCTTTCATCTTTGGAAAAAAAATATTCGAAAAATAGTAGATGCAAAAATAATCTCTTGTTATAAGAAAATAAGATCTGAGAAAACATTAGCAGCCTTCCAAAACACTTTCCAATATCTTTAATTTAAAACAAAATATGTTCGTAATTTTATTTCTCACCAGCAAAACTTTGTTTTAATTCTACGATGATAATTTCTTATCGATAAAAAAAAAGAGAATAAATAAATTAAATCATATATTAATGAAAAAAAATAAGAGGAAAATGTCTCATAAAAGATGCTCTTAATATATTTTTATTTATATCCTTATTATTAATTAATATTCTTGCAAATATAATTTTCAGATTATTTTTATTCCCATTAAATTCTCTGCGGTGCTCGTCATCTCAAAAAAATAGAAGCAGCAAAAATAGATTTCCGCAATGGCGCAATTTTCAAAAGTCGTCTCGAATTATTCGTGCACGATATCTACGATACAAGCATCTACGAACACTCGTTAAGGAAACGACGAAGTTAGTAGATATTCTCACATATTCTCAACTACTATATTCACATTATTGATTATTCACTACTCTGCTACATGCAAGACTTTACTGCTAAAAGAAAAGCTTTTTTGCACGGACTCGCGAAGACCTTACGAAATTTACAATTTTGTCAAATTCATGTCTATGATTTCTACTATATGTGTAATATGAACGGCAAACTAACCCGAAATAATAATCGCACAATCATTTCGAGGGACTCGCATACTGAATGACCACGTTCGCTGTGTTAAATACATCGACACTTAAACTAATGGTTTAAATTAATTACTCAGATTTAATTCAAATATTGATAGCAATCGGAAAGATTTTCTATATTTGAGATAAATAATTCAATTGTAAGATTTTAATGACAGCATCGCGAATAATTGAATTGTTAATTGAATGAATACAAAATATTTCTGTTGACTTGTGATAATTATTTCTCAATATTTTCAATAATCTCAATTAATTAATAAAGTTATTTAAAAATTTTTCTCATTAAACTGTATTGCAAAATTTTGTTAATTTAACAATTTCGACAGATAATATGCATAATTTTCTATGTTTTAATAAGAGAACGTGCCCAATGAATTCACGTGAAAATTGGGAAACTCTGCCGTCGTAGATCCGACGTACGAGAAGCATCGGAAAACGTCTCGAACGTCTCTCGACAATTTTTAATTTGGTTTATTGAATTGCGGCCACACATTCTTCGAGGCGGCGGCCTTCGCCTGCTCTTTCAAGATTCTCGCTTGCTCCTGTATTTCCTGTTTCTGTTTCAGGAAGGAAAAGTCTATGAAAATGCTGGAAAACAAACAAACCGCTACGTAAGTAATCAATCATCAGAAGGATCTGAGAGAGCCGTACAGGAAAAAAGAGAAAAGGAGCCGATATCCTTTCTCGTTTAACGATCGACGATCGTGCGTCCTCCGAGTAAACTCGATTTATATTTCTCCAATTGGTAATTTCTTTTCCCGAATTACAGCCTTCATGGAAACGTCGTCTTCCGAAAAGGATAATTTTTTTCATTCGCGTTCCGTTATTTTCTAAAAACAAGTCTCAGAAAATTATTTTGGCGTAAATCATTAATGCTTCATGGACGTTTGATTAAAAAGCACGTCTATACAAAATAAATGGATTAATACAGATTAATAAAAATTCATTTTTTTTCCCAGAATAAATTCATGTAGATTTCTTTGAATTCACTCCAATTATTTTTCACATTATTGTCTTCCACTGCGATTATCAACCGTGCGAATTAACCTGTTAATTTCAATTCACGTGACAATTAGATTTTCTCGCACACGATTTTTATTATATGATGGTGATTTACGTGAGTGTGAGCGGCATTCAGCGGTGAAGCCAATTTTATATTAATTGTATTAACCTATGATTGCTGCAAGCATCACGGCATTAGCGATTCGTTATATATATGTATATGCTTAAATATGTTCAGTGGTTAAAGAATAGTTAAGAGAGAACCAGTGGACACTCGCATAAGTAAATTGACTACTTACGGTACGGCGGACGCTTGGCACTTGATAGTGTCTGCGATGTTTTGATCCGAATAAAGTCCGATCGGCGAGTTGAATTGCTTGTGGACAATCTAGAAAGACACAATTAACGTTTACGATCGATATAATACAGAATTTACGGTATATGTCGCATAGAACTTGAAACAGCTCTCGTGGTTTGAAACAACACGACCAAAAATGACAGTTTTGTAAGTAGAAGCGCAAAAGAGATTATTTTCGTTTTTCTTTTTTTATTTTAATTTTTATTTAAAGACACAACGTTTGAAAAATAATGCTATATACACAGTATATGGATGTTTTGAAACTTTTATATAGTATAAGCGGAATCTATATATTAATTTAACGCATTATGTGAATGTTTACTAGAGAATATTCACTAAAGATGTTGCGTATTGTGTTGTTGCGATCTGTCCTCGAGTCGTGTCGCTTACGACTACGGTATTACGTTATGATAATATAGCACTGTAAAAAATATATACATAACTCTAGTTTGTTGGCACTGTGGACAGAATGAATATTTGACTAATGCCAAGTTTCCATTATGTCAGAATTTCGCAGTATTAACAAATGAGCTTGACTCACGCGATGCTTATTATTCTACAAAGCACCTCCATTACAAAATAATGTAACTATAATCGTCACGGTTTTGTTACATCTTGTACCTCCAGAATTTTCATATTTCGAAACACGTTAGTGACAATTAAAGCAATACTTTTATCGGTAAATTAATGTTATTCAAAATAAGAATTTTTGATAATCGAATTAATTTATATTACAAATTAAATTGGATTTAATTATTAAAATAATTCAATTCAATTAACTTTAATCATAAATAGGAGTTGATGCAAGCTGTATCGATTCACAGTGTAATCGATACGTTGGTATTATTTTTCGGATTATCAACAAATGAATCCAGAGGATCTTGTATTAATCCTGTAATAATCGCGTTAACATCGCGATTATAATTATTATTAGTTATTAGCAGAAAATATCATAATAGCGGGGATATTTCGTCAAACGAAACTCAAGTTTCTTGCAGATATATATCGGTTGTCCAGAAAGCGTAAGCGTTTCTCGAAGCAGAAGCGGCTTACGAAAGTAAACAACGGAAGTGATCCAAACCTTTGGAACTTCATTCGGTCCCACGACACGGTGAAGTACTCTTTCTGCCACCTGCTCAGACGACGTGCAAATAAAATACAATTTAAATCCTGACTTGACAAATGCATCTCCAAAAAAATAGAAGAATTTATTTGCAAGTCGGAGGGATTGAATGTATTCGGATGATTTTATAACGCCGAATTACCTTTTGTTTCATAGCAACTTCAGGATGAGCTGGTTCGTAATGATGGGGTGCTGCCCTGATCATCGGATTCGGATGATGTCGTAGGTAACATTCACCGATAGGGGCATCCTTCTTGACCTTGGCACCTGGCAAGACCAGAGGAGTCGTACGGTAGGGCTGAAAAATTTCACAATTGTAACTCTATCGGCATCGGTATATTATATTTTACTATTTTATATATATAATTATTCATAAGTGTATCAAAAATTTTTTAGGGGAAAAGGGTTATCAATTCTGTTGTCTCCATATGAGCAATATTGTTTACATTAATAAATTGCTTTTTTAGATATTTTATATTTTTCAAATGTCTCCTTCTTATACCTGTTTTTTGAATAATAAATATTATATTTTGTAAACTATATAATTTTTTTTCCTGAAGAAAATATAAACAAAATACAATTATTAAAAACGAAATGGAAAAAAGTTGTATTTTTTTATAATCAAGAATGAAAAAATAAATAAAAATTTTCGGGATTTTGGACCTCCCAAATTTCTCTAAATACGTCCATAAATATAATATTATTCATGTTTATTAATATGCAATATCTTATTGTATAATAAATTATAGAATTAATATCTGGTTGTCGTATAAACTGACATTAACGATAATAATGATAACTATGCAAGTAATAGTTAATAGGGCAGATGAAATAATATCCTGTCGAAGCGGTGCCAATTAATTAACTAACGAGATTTAAAATAAACTGCAATAGAGGCCATGGTGATCGAAAGGTGGCTCATTAATTCCTGACGCTTCTTACGTCGCATAATTCCGAGCAACGACAAAAATAAATAATGATGATGATATCACAGATTAATTTGACAGTGATCCCATTTCATAATATTAATGAGGTGAAATGCAAATTAAAAAAAGTATCATAAAAAAACATGTATCAATTACTAATCGCGGTTTTATATTTTTTTAAAACATATTTTACAATAATTAATGACTAGATAACATCACATTGTGACGAATAAAATCTTCCTTTCATGAATACCTACTTCTTTTATTTCCAAATTGTTCTATTCTAAATCATTTAAGAAAAGAAACAGTGAATATTTAACTTCTTAAATCAAATAAATAACTTCATTATAAATATTCTATATATTTTCTATATTTTCGTAGTATAAATAATGTTCTAATAGGTCGAATATTTCTGGCTAATGACGTTACGAACAGGAAATGATATCATTATGATTGTCTCTAAAGAAGCAAAAATTTCGCGCAGCTGGCTCACAATGAGAAAATTATATCAAATAAACGGTCATCCTCGTGGCGGACGAATTCGACTTGCCAAGTTACGAGTCGTTCCGTCACGTGCCGTCGTTTTTGCGCGATATTACGAAATTACGCAAATTTGCAGGTGCATCGTCGTATATCGTCGATTCGCCACGCGGATCTTCTATGTTTACAATACGAGTTACTGAAACATCCGTGAAAACAACGCGAGATGAAATCTCAGACGAATTCTCTGTAATATTCTGTCGCGGATATTCTCGCGTAGTCTCAAGCCAGAATGAAAATTTGGAAATGCCAGGCATTATTATCGCGACCTTTGGAGAGAATCGTAAATAAAACTTTTCGTAATATTTTCTTGGAAAACAATTTCTCATTTTACTTTTCAAGTAAAGATCACGTTTAATCGTTTTTGAAGAGCGGCTTGAGATTTATGAACAATTCAACAGTAACGTTTTCGTCAGTTTTGAAATTATTATCTTGAGCTTCAGAATACAATGGAGAAATATTACAGATGTACGTGTTAATATCACGTATCTTTATCTGGTAACAAAATTTCTCTCACTTTTTTGCCTTTGCAACTTTTTAGATTAATCTCTTTTCAAGTAGAATATATAAAAAAAAGGCCGTAATAATATCATAAGGATATCATCATGATTTTATTTATTATTTATAAGTTTATTTTTTTTAATATCAAGTGACATCATGATGACGTCCTATAATATCATTATAATTTTATTATGTCACTGTGTTCTGCCTGGATTAATCGAAGATATAAAATATAATAAGAAATAAGAAGTATAATTATAAAAAATATTATTATCTTTACAATGACCAATTAAAAATTGGTCATCACTTGAACAACTGAAGATAATAAAGAAGTTTAACAAATAATTGCTTAATAGATTAAATAATAAATATATTTCAATTTATATAAAAATACAAAATTTCCTGTATAATTTATGAAGTTCGATCTCTTCAGTAGAGTTGAATTATGCATACATTGTTCAGAGGTATTGGCTACATTTTAGCAAAAAAAGCAGCTTTACACAACTAAGATTTATAATATGATTAATTTATACATTTAAATCCAATAAGGAACTATAACGACAAACCTAGTGATATTAAAAAATTTTAGAAAAAACAGCTGTGCTTTTTCCGCTGAACGCAGCCAATGTGCACGTTAAAACATTTCACAATTTTAGAATCGCGGTTGCGGTTGCAAGTTCGCGCGCAAGTTTCACGACATGAAATCGCACGATAACGATGATTCCATTATAAATGGGTCAGAAATGTTCCATTATGTTAGAGGGTGAGCCACGAGTGACTCTCTCGAAATAGATGAAGGCCTCCGGTCGGCAAAAATAACACGCACCCTGAGCCACAAAAACCGCTTATCCCCACGAACCTCTCTTGTCCGCTTCTTTCCGCCCGTGACTTTTTCACCAGGAAGCGTTCCGCCCGTTTCATTCTTGGACGGGGAACATTGGCAAGGTCGCACGATAATTGAGAAGAAAGGAATGAGTCGGATGCAAAGCTGCCTAAAGCCCAAAGGGCGTCTTACTTCCATTTTGCCATCGATAACAAATGTCTCAATATTTGAAATGAATGGAAGTATTTATTAGATATATTTATTTTAAATCTGGATGAAATCGATTCTATTCAATATTGTTATACAAAATTTTTCTATGCTTTTTAAACTTTAAAGATCTAAAATTATTAATCAATTAAACACGAGAAATTATATTACTTAATATTAAATTTATTACTTAATTTTATTCCTTTAAATTTAAAAAATGAAATGCTGAAGTTTTTATTCGTATGAAGTTTAATATTTGAAGAAGAGGGACTGATTGTCTCCTCTAAAAGTGATAAAGTATATAAAGATTATTTAAAAATCGAGTTCGGTTGATTGATTTAATTAATCAACGAAACTTTTATTTTGCAAATCTACGATCTTTTTCTTTTTTTAGAAGATTTGCGTGAGCGTGCGCACGCTCATGCGTCGTTTTGTAAAAGATCTTTCAAACTAAATTCAGACGGAGCAAAACAGCTGTTCACGAAGTGTTTATTGCTTGGCGTCGAGATGAAACTTGAACTCTTTGGAAACTGATTGGAGCACATTGGCAAGAGGCACGCTAACGAACAGATGTTTCAACTTCATTAACACATACTGGAAGATACATAATTAAAATAATCTTTGAATTAATTTTATAACCAGTAAATTCCGATTTGTTCCATTTCTGATGTAAAAATAGTTAATGTCAAATCGTCGTTAGTTCATTACATCGTTTTCTGATTTTAAAAACCATATTGTCAAATTAAGAATAAATAAATTAAAATAATTAAAATAACTAAACATATTTAATATATAAAGATACACTATTTCTTATTTTTTATATTTCTCAGTTTTTTCCTCAAATTTAAACGTTTTGTTGCAGTCCTATTCCAACAAGAAAGAAAAATTTTAAAAATAAATTTAAAATAAATAATAAATTTATCTATCATGGTTAAAAATAAATTTTTCTATCATGGTACAGAATATATATATTATATATATATAAATTATCGCTTTATGTATCCAAAAATAATGATACATTTCTATTTAAATGTTATTCAGGAAATAAAAAAACGATCACTAATTCTGGAACTCGTTGAAGCTAATTAATCATCACATTAAAAACATTGCTTTTTGAAAAGTCTTTCGATTTTTCGAACGGGAGGTAAGTTTGAAAAACACGGACTGTGGGTGTGTCTTTGTATGACGACTTCTCCTGCGTGTTCGTGAGTAACCCAGATCTCGTTCACGAAAATAGAACGCGATACCGATGAACGGCATCCGTAATGGCGATGCCTACGTGCGTTTTATTGCATAGCGTGTTATTAACGCCCGCGCAAGTCTGCCTTTCATCTGGGTTGCTCCGATTAACTCCGAAATTGGCGTATCTGCCCTTCTCGGGGGCGGGATAGGCGAAATTAATCAAGTTCCATTGCGAATGGCAGAATTGTTCTGCGGACACGTTTGTGTACTGTGTCAAGGTTGAACAACGCGAAATCTAGATCATCTAGCGATCTTATTGCTTATTATCGTTATTCGATATCGACGTGTCGACGGGTGAAGCTAAAACTTGCTATTGAATTTTGATATTTTTAGATCATAGATACATTTTGTGATCCAGCGACATTCTTAAGCTCGAGCTTTATGGTTGTTATATCTTATCGTGGACAAGAATACATAAATGTCATCCAGACGAAAAAACAACAAATTTTATAAAACAAGGTGAGAATGTTATTTATAACAAGTGTAATGCTGCTTTCAAATGAGAAGAGAAAATCGTGAGAGAAAATCACTTAAAAGAACATCATTTTTAAATAATAAATAAATCTACTTATATGTGAACATTACTATACTTTTAATTTATATTTATTCTTCTTATTTGTATAATTAAATAACTAATAAATAAATTACTAAATAAATAATTGTCCCATATATAGTTTCACCTATAATGTGAATTATTTAATCAATTAAAAAAGGCTTAAAATAATTGGACGTTAAATGAAAAAAATTCTTCTAAGAGATATCTCTATCAAGAGAGAATTTGACATCGCAAGAATACAAATTTTACTCTAAAATGCACGTGACTTGTGCTATCTCTAATCTAGAAATATTCGTTTGGATCGGAAATTCTGGAAAAGAATTTTGAAAAAATAAGAACAAAACTACTTTTACATTAACGTATTTTTCGGACGTCTCCGTGATGCTTTTTCAACAATGTAGCTCGTCACTCGCGCGCGAAATCCGCAAGCACATCTTGGCCACGAAAAAGGTGCACGTTCAAGGGCAAAGAAGAGAATCATCCGATGATTCTTCCTCCTTTAATGAGCCTAAACAAAACCAATGAAACTTCTCTTTCGCCACTTCTCTTTACCCAGTAAACAGCCGCTTCCTCCTCCTTCGGATGATGCTCGATGTTGTAACGATAGACGGTCGTGTAAGCGGGCATCTTCTCGTCTCCGTCCGAGAGGCGTCCCGCGGAGAGAGCTTCCCTCGCAACCACCGACCTTATGTCACCCCTTTCGCGCGCGGCAACCCTTTCGTGGATCTCGCAATCGTCCTCGTTCTCACGTCGTCCCTCGTTCGCGACTATCGCGGGATTATTCGCGCTTAAGCACTACTGGCTCGACGCGAGCGCGGGCGGCACTAACTCTGGCCTTTTTCAAGCGACTCCTCTCTCTCTCTCTCTCTCTCTCTCTTTCTCTCCGGAGACCTCTCTTGAAATTCGTTCGCTTTCGTAAAAGCTCTTGACACCGAAAAAAACGTCACAAGTCAAATGTTCTTCGGTAATCTCAGACGCAGCGACCAATCGAATTATCATCTGATTTTAAGAAATAAGAGTAAATACGTTTATAAATAAATAAAGATATGTCGGGTTTTTAAGTTAAAGTACATTCTTGCTGAAGAATGTACTCTTTTTTAATGTATACACTTTTATCAATTAAATGGTTGTTTTCAAGTTAAAAGGTTACAACCTTCTGCAAGGTTTTGTTTTTTTTTCGATAGATTTCAAAATGCAACCAAGCAACTGGTTCTTACTTATAGATCTAACCATTTTACATTCAACCGCTTTATGAGAAAAGCTGACCGAGCTTCTGAAATCCATAAAAGAAAAAAATGAGCCTGTTCTTTTTTACTAAACTTTTGCACCAGTTCATTTTTCTTTCTTTTCTCTCCAGGAGAAAAGAAGAGGAAGAAAGATGAACTTTTTAAATGTATTTTTTAAAATACCTTCAAAATTCCTTAGACTTTTTTTTTTAAATAAAATTATTTATAACCAATATTTTTATTCATGTTCTTAGCTTTTAAAATTTCTTACAAGCTGTATAATTATTACCACAGAATGATCGAAGAAGGCAACCGTTTTCTTTGGCAACAAAATTCCGTGACGAGATTAATGAGAGAGTTACTCGAGAGTGTGTAAATTTCAATCGCCAAAATGAGATCTCGATAAATCTTTCATTTATCCCATTTATTTATTAAACAACGTCAAATGTTTTAAATATCGCATTTTTTTCGTAATCAAAAATATCTAATATCATTAGGGTATAATTAAAAAAAAATTTCGAGAGAGTACATTATTTTTAATATTTTTTAAATATTTTTTAATATATCAGGGAAAGATTTGCTTCTTTATTTGGGGTCGCAAAAGAAAAATGAATTCCACCGTACGGAGAATGTAGAAAGCGAAAGTCCTGAATCTGCGGGACGTATCAGATCGGGACAGGCAGAGGTGATTTCGATGCAAAAGCGATATTTATAGCGTATGGCAACCGGCTCTACTAGTGGCGACGGACTTTCCGGCATCGTGGCGGGCCAACAAAAATATATTCACACTTCGGACTTCCCACGAATAAAGGCACCTCCGTCGCTTCGCAGCGATGCACGGTGCACCTTGGTATCGCGATATACGCGATGTCGTCGTAATAAATGCGATGACGCGCTTCTCTCTTTCTCTCTTTCTATCTCTATCTCTCTCTCTTTCTCGTCGGTATCTCGCAAAACCTGTTAAAACGTTTCGTTAAACGACGGGAGACATCTGGATGCGAAATCGCGATATCGCAAATCATTCCCCCGTTGTTGTTAAAATCGCAAAATTTCAATATTTTTCTAAAACCTCGCAGTCCGCGACTTTTTTCTCTGCCTCTATGAGTTAGTCGAATTGATCACACATTTACGTTATTAATTGAACCAATTTTAATTGAAACTGCCGTTTACGAAACCTCTTTTGCAAAATTTTTATAAGGGCCGTCACATAATTTCGTCACCGATTATATTATTGATTATCACGACGGGCCAAAATTTCGTCACCTGAAACATGCCGTTTCGAAATAAGTGGGAGACGGATTAAACGCAACAAATGTCCTGTCACACTACATCCGTGATTCGACAATGAGTTATTGAATTTCAAAGTACAGAAGGGTATTTCGGAACGAGCTCAAACTTGCCAGACGCCACGATCATACTGACTCGAGAAACCAGAGTTCAGACTCTTATTACAGTAATTCGCGTGCCTCTGACACAGCCGTGTCTATATACTTATTTTATGATATGTACTTCAATCTGTTTTTCCAAATCTTCAAACGGAACTTCGTATTACAAACACATTACTTAGGATTACGATTCTTTCGTTTCTTCCCTTCAATGAATCCTGTAGAGCTAAGCTCTTCGTATTTTTCAAATAATTATTCAAGAAAAGAAGAAAAACATTTTCAGATGTAAGAGCAATCCATATTGATTTATACAATTTTCGCGATGTTTCAACAATTCGTTACAGAGAAAATCCCAAAGAACTCTTGGAAAATAAATGAAAAAGACATTTATGTTATAAGCAAGAAATTACGACGAGACGGTTTCAGATCTGTATTTCGTATCTACTTTTAGCTTTCGCTTGCATAATTTCGAAGCTGTCAATTATGTTTTACCGAATCATAGCGTCTGCTGATATCGATAATTTTACGTACAACGCGCATTTCTTTCTTTCTTCAGCTATACTTAAATGATAAATTTCGATATGATAAAACTTTTTTTTCCTAAATATTATTACGTTTTAAAATATATCTTAGTACATCTTATTATTTATATATATATAATTTCTCTGCGTGTTTAGATTACATTAAAATTAATGCATTAAGATTATATTAACATTAAGATTGGAAGAGAGATATTTTTCAAAGATATGGCCACGCTGTTTTACTAATGTAGGCTATTTTCTGGGAAAGAAGTAAATACGTCAGTTCTTGATTTATATACTAAAATAAAGCCGACTTCCTTCGCGCGGATCAATGAACTCTCCAGCGAATTTGTATTACCGACACGTGCTTGAAAATTTGATTTTCAAAGACTAAATGCACTTTCGTTCCAGATTCCTTAGAATGCTCAAGAACCATTACCGATTTTATCGTTGAATCTAAACAAATCCAACAGTAGTTAAGCGAGACTGGCTGGCTTTAAATTACACAATCAAGATTTTACTCAAAAACACAAAATGCTTTTATCGATTTAATGAAGATTTATTTCTAACAAAGGAAATTCTACAAACCAATTCTTTGTAAGATCAAATTGAGAATTTCGACATAACTTATTTCTCTTATTTCTAATATAATTTATTTATATATTTAATTACTTTCAATTTTTTACTCCTTATATTTAAATTTTTAATTTAATCTTTTTATATATAAGTCATTTTGTTGATAAAAATAGTAAAAAATAATTTAATACCTGCGACAAATGAACTCTTTCCTCGCGAATCTCGTCGAGGTGTTCATGCGGCGTAATAATCGTACTGCGAAGAGTATATTCCGGAGTTGGCGTTGACCTGTACTCCTCGACCGAAGGCGGCCGAATTGGGCTCTTTGGTAATTCTTGCGGATACTCCTTCGGCTGTTTGTATCTGCGTGAAAGAAATGAAAGAAACATTAATATAATATAGCAGATCGCGTATTTGTGTCGCAGTAGCAGCAGAACACAAGCAGCTTCGTGGCGGGTCCTCGACGATCATCGCCTTTTACACATTAAAAAGATCGATTAACTGTGATATTGCAAAAAAAAAAATTAAAGACTCCGATCGTGCAGGATGAACATTAAAAATGTGTTAATTGTACAGAATTAATTGTATAAAAATGATTCTTAACTGTGTATAACTCGGGAAAACATGTTCAAGAGAACCCAAGTAATACAGTTATGTTCAAAATATGTTTAATAAACAATAGTAATAAAAAAAGAGACTCTCAATAAACAAACTAATATATATAAATAACTTAATATAAATTCAGGCAAATAAAAGCTAGAACATAGTTATTATTTTTGTCTAATTATACAAAATTTTTTTCTTTAATCTATACAAACAAAAGATCAACATTTTGGTTGCAATTTGCAATCATCTTCAGGATAATACAAAATAAACTTTTAAAATCCAATAATTCGTAATCAATATAAAAATTTGTACCTAATTATTCTTAATAAAACAGAAGAATGTAAATATAACTTCTTAAAACCTCGAATGGTTCTTCATTAGAATGTGAGTACAGCTCTTCATAATCAATATCAAAATTGTTACGTGCTATAAATGGCAAAACAAAATAATTATAAAAACACGTATTCTATCGTACAAAAAGATAGACATTAATCAACTCATCAGTTTTTAAAAATGATTCTTTCATTCTGTTATAAAATTTCTTTTCAAAATTAATGTATCTTAGGAAAGTCATTAGACTGTGTTCACGTCTTTCACCATAGCAACATTAATTCTCAGCCAATTTAATTAACAATTAATGTTTTTGAAATAGATTATATTTGTAATGCAATGTTTGCTGTTTTTATTTCTATATATTTATTGTCTTTTTGGCACATTGACCTGTAACTTTTATGTATCATTAATTGTGTTTTTGACGCTAATCACTCGAGGTTTTGAGAAGTTATACTTGCATTCTTCTGTTTTATTAAGAATAATTAGATACAAATTTTTATATTGATTGCGAATTATTGGATTTTAAGAGTTTATTTTATATTATCCCCCTTGAAGATGGTTGCAAATAACAACCAAAACGTTGATCTTTTGTTTGTACGAATTAAAAAAAAATATTGTAAATTAAACACAAATAATAACTCGTGTTCTCGCTTATTTGCCTGAATTTATATTAATATTAGTTTGTTTAATAAATTTAATATTTAATATTTTTATACATCATAAAAACCATTTCGGTTAAACATTTTTCAAACGTAAATTGAAATTCTTTATCGGTTAAAGACGATCGCCGAGGTGCAAAAGTAAATGGTAGAAGTTTCAAAGCAGCGGCCAAAAATGTCAGTCGTGCTTTATGCGAAGAGAGAAACTGATTAATCGAATTAATCAGTGGCGTGCTGCGATATTGCGGCGGCAACGCGGTGTCATTGCTGTGGCAGTATTGTGAAAAAAAACGCGTATAGAAATAATATTGCATTCTGACAGACTAGTGGCCGCAGCCCCGTTTCCAACGATCGGCCTGAAAATCGTGGGTGGTGATGGTGACGTAGTGATGGTAGTGTCGGTGGTTGTACGTGATGATACTCTCGATGGCTCAGACCTTTCGATAACTAGCTTTATGGTTTCGGAGTTTTGGAGGAGATTCTGTGCGTCTACATGCCTCACATCACGCGCGTCGTAATCGTCAATTTTCTTGATCATGTCACCCTTCTGGAGCGCCTCGTTCTCCGACTGCAAGCAGATCATCGCCCCGACGTTGTTAGCAATAATTATTGTCTCTGTGCTAACTTTTCAATTATTGTGTTTAAGAAATAATTAAAAGTAATATCAAACATCTAAAATATGTGACAAAAGATAAAAATCTGCTTCAATTCTGCTGTTCCGTTTAGTTCTATTTGACTCAAAATATAATTTATTTTTACTAATGTTTTATTTAAAAATTTTTTCTTAGATAAAATCCTTTTTTTGTGAAAATTTATTTTTTATTTTTTAGAGCTTATTAATCTAAATGATTATAATTATAGTAAATTTAAATAGATCAGCAAGGTTAATAGTTCATTTACTTCTTTTGAAATTGTAAGATATTGTCTAAACAGGTTTTAAAAAGTAATAGTCAAAATAAAAGAATAATATTATCTTGTTATTTGTCATTATAATTTAATGGCAGATACGTTTTCAAAAATTCAAAAAAATTAATGTATGAAAAGACACTCATAAAAGAAAGATTGCCGAAATGTTATAGAATGAGATAAATTACGAAATATTATGGGGCAAAACAGAATTTGGTAATAAATAATATTCGAATTATTTGTCAGTTTATTGATAAAAACAGAAACAAATAAGACAAAAGTAAAGAATTAAGAATATTTTTTTAACAATATGAGTTCAATCCTCAATTTTAAGCGTATACGATTTTACGCTTAACAAAAAGACGCTTTTGTCATCTCATTGGATTGTTTCAGCGTAAGATCCGGAATGCAATGCGCCGGGGATATCAATGTCAACGGCGCTAGATCAAATCGTTGATTTGAGAATTCCTTGGCAGCCTTCTCCATTTCAAATGTTCACAGGGATTGCATTACGTCCACCTCTATTGTTCCGCCGCGTCATTCGCCAGTGCGAAATCGTATCAAAGCCAAGTAAGCGGATACCGTAACGAAGTCTCCATAATGAGAAAAACGTCTCATTCTTCCCGGATAAAAATCATTGCCCGAATATAACAAAATCCGTTATCAAATGCCGTAAAAAAAGAGATTTGCATACTTTCTTTACGAAACGCATATTTGAGGACTCATTGATTACTAGCTTTTACAATTAGAAGCATAAAGTCCTGACTTAGGACTTTATATCACTGAAGTACTATGAGAAATAAATTATAAACATGATGTAAAATTATAATTGTTTATATATAATTTCTTTTATATATACATAATTTTATTCATTTATAGTTTCTTTAATTAATTGATCAACTTGTCCCAAAATACAATTATTTTTATTGCTTCTATTTAAAACATTAAAAAATTCATTATTTTTATTTTTCATTATATTTATCTTTTTCTTTACATTTATCATATTTTTATTACTATTTATATCATCCTTTCTTTAAAGACCATAAAATTTCAGAACAAATTTAGGTTTAACATTGAAGCAATTAATTTAAAACCTTGTTAGGAGAATTGTAACACAATTTAAATCAAAAATTAATTAAAGATGTGTGAGGAGATCGGGCAGAAATTAAGATGAGAAGAAGAAGCAGACTCACGCGGGTGACAACAATCGGCGTGCCCAGATCTGCGCCTCCGGCGATCCTTATGCCCCATGGCCTACCGGTGCTAGATCTCTTAAGTTTCACAATTAATGTGTGCCTTCTCGTCATACTCTAAACTCGGTTCAGTTAACACCACCACCAACAATAACACAACAAATAGCCACGACACAAGCACTTAATTAATCGCGAGATGCATTATGTAGGCAAAACGACGAGAGAGAGAGAGAGGCAAAAAGAGATAAAAAAGGGAGTAAGTTCCAAGAAGAAAAAAGAGTCAAAGACTCTTTCAGAAGAAGAAAAGACCTCCCGCGAACAGTCGCGAGCGATGAATCTCCCGGATCGTGATCGCTCTCTGCTTCGCTACTGAGATAGTAGCTGCAGCTGTAACACTTGCCGACTATATGCCGACTTTGACAGAGCCCTGAGCGGAAAGCGAGAAAGATAGGGAGCTTTAGTTGCTCAATTCTAACGGAGAGACCACCGCCTCTAGTCTCTCTGTTTCTTTCTTCACTATTCTGGCCCCATTTCGAGTTGGCGTATTGTTCTGATGGTCCGATTCGCACTCGTTTCTTTGGTATTTACTAAATGTATGCGTGTGTACGTGCATAAATGTTTTAGTCTCGCCTTGAAAGAGAAAATCAAACTATTAGTGAAGAATGAATATGAACTACCGCGAGAAATCCTTGAAGATGATATACTATAAAGATGAAACAATTCTACAAAAAAAAAATTTATTTCTTGTTATTTGAATTTTTACATAATTTTAAACAAACTAGTTAATTAAAGAAAAAAATCTTAAATAACTACATAATTATACTTCAGCAACATCAGAATGCGCGGTTGGAAAAGAACATTTCTAATAATCATTACTTCTTAATATCGCTTTTATAATAGTTAAAACAATGATGATTTCTTCTGTGACTCTTTTAAATCGGTATTTAAAACAATTGCTTTCAATTAATTCAACATGGCAACTTAATCTAATAAAAATGAATCAAGTGGCAAAATCAACAGGCGGCAAAATAAATTAAAATTTGAATCGAAGATCCCTACATGAGTCTAAAGTGTAATACCATTGAAATCTAATAATTCTGGACATCATCTCTCCAAAAAACTTCTTCAGTAGGATTAAGGAGATACATAGGATTAAATGTAGCTTTAATTTTGTAACATTATGCGAAACTATTTATCACAATAATTTACAGAAATTATTAGTGGCAACAATGTAAGATGCCATAATGTAGAGTACTAAGATTTTATACGAATTTTATGTATGACATAAGTTGACATACAGCGCGCGCGAGCGATAAACGAATATCGAGAAAGGAATTGAAATGGACATGACAAAAATATCGAAATAATTTCTAATATAATAATTCTTTCATGCATATAACGTAACTTTATTGACTCAGTTCGAAATGTGTTCGACACATGTTTCATAAGCGAACTATTGTAAGTGGGACAGTCTTATTATATACAGCTTAGTATTCACAATGAAAGCTGGCAAATGAAATGCATTTTGTCGTGCTACATATTTACACAACAGCTTCTTTATTCACAAATTCGACGTCGAATTTCAGAAAAGATTCATTTGTTAATTTATTTCATACATGAAATTACAATTAACTGTTTGTAATTAACAGAACTAGATATTCGGAGATATTTTATTCATATTTTCAAAATTCAAATTGTCGCTTTATTTCTATTATCAAATATTTTTTGCTATCATTGTTTTAAGCCATTTATTTAATCGATAAATTATATTTGTTTTAATGTAACTTCAGTTAATGATTTATCACATTTTCCGCAAGACAAAGAACGACTCTATTTTTTTCCTAAGGTGGAAATGTGAAAAGTGAAAATTTTCTTTACAAGTAATGGAGAAATTTTTCACTTCTCATATTTCCTAGAAAAAGAGGTTACATGATTGCTATCTAGACTTCTTTAAAAAACTCTATCATCAGAAATCGATAATTTCGGTAGCCAAATGATTGGAATATAAATTGGAGTATAAATTGGAGTATAATTAGAAAGAAAATCAAAAGGATTTCTTACGGGTTACGTATTCTTCGTACTTACATAAGTTTCGTAAAAGTGGCCTATGGAGAATTTGAGAGCCATTCTCGAAAATTTGATTCTAGTCGCGTTTTCCCCCCCGTTTAGATAAGACACTCACTCTTCTTCCGCCGTGCTAATACGTTCACGGACGACGAGAAACTTCTCCCCTATGCGGGCCGTTTCGATGCAATTAGTTTGGCTGCACTGTAATTAACGAAGACTAGAGAACCAGAGATGAGAGAGAAAGAAAGAGAGTGAAATAATGAGACAGAGGGAGAAAGAACGCGTGTTTGTATGACTTAAATTAGCAACCTATAGCGCGAAAGGTTAGTCAATCGGTCTAGTGACTCACTTTACCTTAATTTATAGAATCATTAACACATATCGTCAATATGCGATATGTCCAACATTGGCAGTCGACGATAATGAATCATCATTTAATTATGTATTGCAGATAAACTTAAAAAAAAAAGAGAGAAAAAAAGATTTAATCGTCAGAATCAGTTTAGTACATCTGCGATTTCGTGGAAATCATATCACCATTTTTGTTATATAAAATATAATTCTAATAAATCTGATAAGTCTCCTCTTGCCTATTCTTCTGCTAAATATAATAAAAATTAAAAATCTTATAAAAATAACAAACCATATTCTATAAAAAAAATATATAAATTATAAGAAATATATATATATATCAGTAACATGTATGAATGAACGAATAATTGCATGAATAATTCGTCAATCATTGAAATGCAGCAAATCTAATACGATGTTATAATAGTTGTCTTTTTAACTTCCAATCATCAATTTAAATTTACGAATTTATATGTTACGTTACGCATTTATCATGCATGATTGTAGACAGAGAGGTTTTGTTGAAGCATCTAAAAATTTAGTTAAATTACATCTGAAAATGATTTTGTCAAAATTGCATAGGACGTTCAAATTGTTGTTTATAAATGTCAAAACTTTTTGCATTATCAATTATCATGCTTCCTACGTAAATATGTTAATGGTCTAACAAATTTATCTTATATTGTATAAAGGGAGTTTATATAAAGAGAGTCCTTCGAAGGAGCAGCTCAGTATCAGTGCGCTCCTTATCCTGATTAAGTGAACGGCAAGATTCACGAAACATTGGCATTAGCAATGGATCACGACATGGCAATAATCCTCTGAAGAAAATATCCGTGAAAGCCTTAAAGGTATCTAAAATTATTTTCAGATTTGTATCTAAGTTTTTAAATACTTCAATAGAATCATTCTTCTCATACAATCATCAAATCGGGACTATAACTTATTTCAGATATTCCTCGGTGATCGCTCGGCTGATGACTATACGTCGTACTTCACTGGTGCCCGCACCGATTTCGTAGAGCTTCGCGTCTCGCAGTAGTCTCCCCGTCGCATAATCATTGGTGTAGCCATTGCCACCTGTAAAAAAATTTTTTAAAAGCGCGACTGTCATTCTCATTAAACATCTTGCTAAACATCTATTTTCTCTACTAAGTTCTTATATCCTCTATGTTTTTTTCTGATATAATTATGATTATTATTGTCTGAAATAATTTATTACTGTTATAATAATTTTTTTTTAAATAGATTTACCGAGTATCTGTACAGCATCTGATGCCATTTTCATTGCATTCTCGGCGGAAAAGAGCAACACCGCGGCGCAATTTTTGCGATTTATATGACCGGCATCGCAGGACCTAGCGACAGAGTACACATAGCTTCTGCTCGCACTCAGAGCTGTGTACATGTTCGCTATTTTTGCCTATAACGATATGATTAAACGATATCAATGGAAGATTGCAAAAAATTTTTAAGAAGACAAGATAATTCTTGCTTTACCTGTATCATCTGAAATTTCGCAAGATACTGGCCAAATTGCTGTCTTGTATGAGCGTATTCGAAAGCAACGTCGCAACAAGCTTGCATTATTCTAGAATTACGTTTCAAATCGCACATAGTCAAATATAAACGCTCGTTTATGAATAAAGCTTAAATAATTTCTTATTAATAATCTGATAAAAATAGATATTTAATATTAAAGTGTCTAAATCTGTCATTCTATAAGACACATCGAAATGTAAAAATTTGTATTTAACACGCTATTTATACAAGCAAACTTTCAAAAAGTATAATTTTCATTTCATTAATCACAAAAAGTATATTCAATAGTTTTTAGAAAGCTGCTTTTAACGTGCAAAATCCAAATACAAAAATACTAAAAGTTAATAATCAAGTTAAATTTTGTGTTATACATTCGTTGTTTTCCTACTTACCCCAAAGGTCCGCCACATAGTATTAATCGTTCCAGATCCAGTCCACTAAAGAGCACATAAATACCTTTATTAATTTCTCCTAAAACATTTGCAGCTGTAACAGAAATTCACAATTTTACAAAAATTTTAAATAAGGAAAGACTTTTAGAAGACAAAAGGATAATGATCGATTTTAATGAGTCAATAAACTTAATATTATAAAATGTTAAAATATCTTACAGTTCTTACTCTATTCTATTTGAACAAATTAATTTTATTGTAACAAATCTTTATATCTTTTCCGCGTTTCTCATTCGAGCGCCGGACTTACCTGGCACTTTGCAATCCTCGAAAATCAGTTCGCCCGTGTTGGAGCCGCGCATGCCAAGCTTGTCCAGCTTCTCTCCCGTGCTGAAACCCTCTGTATCACGTTCAACGATGAAAGCAGTGATACCATGCTTCGGCTTGTCCACATTCGGATCCGTTCTCGCGTAGACGATTAGTGTATCCGCGTCCGGAGCATTGGTAATCCAGAACTTGTTGCCATTGAGGACATAGTAGTCCCCCTTTCTCTCGGCCCGCAATTTCATGGAGACAACATCGGATCCGGCACCCGATTCCGACATCGCCAACGCCCCGATGTGTTCACCACTGCATAGCTATAGAATTTTTCATATAACAAGAATATTTTATTTATCAATAATCGCGCGAGCGACATGAGTTAATCCTATTGATGAAGATATCAAAGGCGTTTCTTAATTTCCGTGAAAAAGCTATCTATAATTTCAAATTTGTATAACCCAATTGGAAATACCCAACCTATTTTTTTACAACTGTTAATTACAATTTATTCACCAAGATATATTTATTCACTAAAATATTACACATGTATTTTTTTCATATAAAACTTTTCAAGAATATTAAGCGCATATGTCAAAACGAATTAAAAAACTTTTTATGATTTACATGTACAATTGTAGATATACTATTTACTTTAACAATCGAAATTACAATTTATTCG